TTTCTATATAGAAAAATGTAGGTAGTGATGAGCATATTTGTATGTACATTCCCATTCAAAAGTTTGGGGTAGGTACATTTTTTTAAAATGTTTTTTTTTAAATAAGTTTCTTATGCTCACCAAGGCTGTTGTATTTGATCAAAGGTACAGTAAAACAGTAATATTGTGTAATATTATTACATTATTAAAACAGCTATTATTTATTTTCAGTGTTGGGCAAGTTACTCTGAAAATTTCATCTAATTACTGATTACTCCTTTTAAAAGTAATCACGTTACTGTTCTGATTACTTTATTTCAAAAGTAAATAGTAATTAGTTACATTACTAGTTACGTAACTTTTTTCTCCATGAATCTTTCATAATGTCTACAATTCGTGTGTTATATTGAGAGGATACGTGAGCACGCAGATTTCAGCACTGCATTGCTCAACGCTGCAAACACGTGTTATAGCCTAAATAGAAACTCTGCATACGCTTGCACCTGTTAATCCTTTATATTTTATATTAGTTCATGTTACTTTTGTGCAATAGATGAATAGCAATTTATTTGTTTTAGATATTTTATGTTTAGATATTTCTATTTTGCGGGAGTCCCGTGAATCATTTTATTCTCCCGCATCCCGCACACACACACACGAGTGTCTACCCGCCCGCACCAGCACTCGCCCATCTTCTCCCGTGCTGCTGTTGCGCCGGCTCTCGCGGGAGCAGGTCTCTAATCCACTGGCACTTGACTGGACAGTGTGTGTGCTACATCCTTTTTACAATCTCTAGATTGTAAAACACTGCATTCTGCCAGCAATGTAACGCGGCAGTAACGTACAGAGACCTCGGCTTGTAACTATAACTATACTAATTACTATTTTGAAAATTATAAGGCGTTAAATTACTCCATTACTAAAAATTACAATTTTTAAAAAAAAAATACAAATTACAGTAATGCGTTACTGCCCAACACTGTTTATTTTAATACATTTTAAAATAAAATTTATTCCTTCAGGCTTCAGTGTAGCACAGTCCTTCAGAGATCACTGTAATATGCTAATTTGGTGCTCAAGAAACATTTCTTACTATCATCAATTAATATTTTTGTGGAAACCATGATTCATTTTTTTCAGGATTCTTTGATGAATATATATATATATATATATATATATATACAGTGGGGAAAAAAGTATTTAATCAGCCACCAATTGTGCAAGTTCTCCCACTTAAAAAGATGAGAGAGGCCTGTAATTTTCATCATAGGTATACCTCAACTATGAGAGACAAAATGAGAAAAAAAATCCAGAAAATCACATTGTAGGATTTTTAAAGAATT